TTCAACACTATAGTGTCTGAAAACCTTGGCGCAACTTAAAAGAACTCCCTGACAGTCCAGTCCAGTCCAGTCCAGTCCAGCTGCTGCTGCCACAGAGCTGTACATCAGACAATGTATCATCACACACACACACGCACACATTCAAACAGTAGGCAGATGTTCTACACATATGCACAGCTCTGTCAGAAGAAACAGATGAAGTGAAGAAACTACTTCGGTTTGTCTGCTGTATCAGCAACAAATTAAATCAGGAAGAATACGTGACATACGTTCCATAAATGTTACTTTCTCTGTGTCAGTAACTTTGTCAGTGGCTCTGTTTCAGTGACTCTATGTCAGTAACTCCGTGTCAATGATTCTGTGTCAGTAGCTCTCTGTCAGTAACTCTGTATCAGTGACTCTGTGTCAGTAGCTCTCAGTCAGTAACTCTGTATCAGTGACCCTGTGTCAGTAGCTCTCTGTCGGGAACTCTGTATCTGTGACTCTGTGTCAGTAGCTCTCAGTCAGTAACTCTGTATCAGTGACTCTGTGTCAGTAACTCTGTATCAGTGACTCTGTCAGTAGCTCTGTATCAGTGACTCTGTGTCAGGAGCTCTCTGTCAGTAACTCTGTATCAATGACTCTGTGTCAGTAGCTCTCTGTCGGGAACTCTGTATCTGTGACTCTGTGTCAGTAGCTCTCAGTCAGTAACTCTGTATCAGTGACTCTGTCAGTAGCTCTGTATCAGTGACTCTGTGTCAGTAACTCTGTATCAGTGTCTCTGTGTCAGTAGTTCTCTGTTGGTAACTCTGTATCAGTGACTCTGTCAGAAGCTCTGTATCAGTGACTCTGTGTCAGTAGTTCTCTGTTGGTAACTCTGTATCAGTGACTCTGTCAGAAGCTCTGTATCAGTGACTCTGTGTCAGTAACTCTGTATCAGTGTCTCTGTGTCAGTAGTTCTCTGTTGGTAACTCTGTATCAGTGACTCTGTGTCAGTAGTTCTCTGTTGGTAACTCTGTATCAGTGACTCTGTCAGAAGCTCTGTATCAGTGACTCTGTGTCAGTTGCTCTCTGTCAGTAACTCTGTATCAATGACTCTGTGTCAGTAGCTCTCTGTCGGGAACTCTGTATCTGTGACTCTGTGTCAGTAGCTCTCAGTCAGTAACTCTGTATCAGTGACTCTGTCAGTAGCTCTGTATCAGTGACTCTGTGTCAGGAGCTCTCTGTCAGTAACTCTGTATCAATGACTCTGTGTCAGTAGCTCTCTGTCAGTAACTCTGTATCAATGACTCTGTGTCAGTAGCTCTCTGTCAGTAACTCTGTATCAATGACTCTGTGTCAGTAGCTCTCTGTCGGTAACTCGGTATCAGTGACCCTGTGTCAGTAGCTCTCTGTCGGTCACTCTGTATCAGTGACTCTGTGTCAGTAGTTCTCTGTTGGTAACTCTGTATCAGTGACTCTGTCAGTAACTCTGTATCAGTGACTCTGTCAGAAGCTCTGTATCAGTGACTCTGTGTCAGTTGCTCTCTGTCAGTAACTCTGTATCAGTGACTCTGTCAGAAGCTCTGTATCAGTGACTCTGTGTCAGGAGCTCTCTGTCAGTAACTCTGTATCAATGACTCTGTGTCAGTAGCTCTCTGTCGGTCACTCTGTATCAGTGACTCTGTGTCAGTAGTTCTCTGTCGGTAACTCTGTATCAGTGACTCTGTGTCAGTAGTTCTCTGTTGGTAACTCTGTATCAGTGACTCTGTCAGTAACTCTGTATCAGTGACTCTGTCAGAAGCTCTGTATCAGTGACTCTGTGTCAGTAGCTCTCTGTCGGTAACTCGGTATCAGTGACCCTGTGTCAGTAGCTCTCTGTCGGTCACTCTGTATCAGTGACTCTGTGTCAGTAGCTCTCTGTCGGTAACTCTGTATCAGTGACTCTGTCAGAAGCTCTGTATCAGTGACTCTGTGTCAGTAGCTCTCAGTCAGTAACTCTGTATCAGTGACTCTGTCAGTAGCTCTGTATCAGTGACTCTGTGTCAGTAGCTCTCAGTCAGTAACTCTGTATCAGTGACTCTGTCAGAAGCTCTGTATCAGTGACTCTGTGTCAGTAGTTCTCTGTTGGTAACTCTGTATCAGTGACTCTGTCAGTAGCTCTGTATCAGTGACTCTGTGTCAGTAGTTCTCTGTTGGTAACTCTGTATCAGTGACTCTGTCAGAAGCTCTGTATCAGTGACTCTGTGTCAGTAACTCTCTGTCGGTAACTCTGTATCAGTGACTCTGTCAGTAGCTCTGTATCAGTGACTCTGTGTCAGTAACTCTGTATCAGTGACTCTGTCAGTAGCTCTGTATCAGTGACTCTGTGTCAGTAACTCTGTATCAGTGTCTCTGTGTCAGTAGTTCTCTGTTGGTAACTCTGTATCAGTGACTCTGTCAGTAGTACTCTGTCAATAACTCTGTATCAGTAATTTTGTGTCAAGAACTCTCTGTCAGTGCCTCTGTGTCAGTAACGCTGTATAAGTGACTCCGTCAGTAACTCTGTTAGTCAGTCTCCATGTGTCAGTAACTCTGCGTCACTGATTCTGTGTCAGCAACGCTGTATCAGTAACTTTGTCAGTGACTCTGTATCAGTAACTCTGTCAGTAGCTCCGTGTCAGTGACTGTGTCAGTAACTGTGTCAGTAACTCTGTGTCAGTAACTCTGTATCAGTGACTCTGTCAGTAGCTCTGTGTCAGCAACGCTGTATCAGTAACTTTGTCAGTGACTCTGTATCAGTAACTCTGTCAGTAGCTCCGTGTCAGTGACTGTGTCAGTAACTGTGTCAGTAACTCTGTGTCAGTAACTCTGTGTCAGTAAATATATCAGTAACCCTGTCAGTGACTCTGCGTCAGTGACTGTGTCAGTGTCCGTATGTCAGGAACTCCATGTCAATGATTCTGTGTCAGTAACTCTGTATCAGTAACTCTGTCAGTAACCCTGTCAGTGACTCTGCGTCAGTGACTGTGTCAGTGTCCGTATGTCAGGAACTCCATGTCAATGATTCTGTGTCAGTAACTCTGTATCAGTGACTCTGTCAGTAGCTCTGTGTCAGCAACGCTGTATCAGTAACTTTGTCAGTGACTCTGTATCAGTAACTCTGTGTCAGTAACTCTGTATCAGTAACTCTGTCAGTAACCCTGTCAGTGACTCTGCGTCAGTGACCGTGTCAGTGTCCGTATGTCAGTAACTCTGTGTCACTGATTCTGTGTCAGTTACACTGTATCAGTGTGTCATCAGGAATGATGTTTACTGAGCACGCCCAGACACACACACACAGACACACACACACACGCAGACACACACACACACACACACAGACACACACACACACACAGACAGACACACACATACGCAGCTCAATAAAATGATGGAGAAGACTGGGGCTGACATTGACTTTAGAAAGGATTTTGAGTTGAGCACAGCTGCTGCGAACTTCATTGACCATCAGTCACTTGCTCTTCATGACGGTGTCACTAAGAGCCGTTAAAACGGACACTCATTAACCGTAGCTCCGTAGCAACAAGGAGATGACTCAGAGCAGTGACTGTTGTCCATCGTAATGGACTTGGGTCAGTGATGAGGACACAGACAGGGCATCAACATCTGGTACTTACACCTGGCCAACAGCTTTCTCCTCCCCTCACTTACCTGGAAAAAGAGTCTTACCTCTGCTGTTTGTCTGCTTTTGAGTCCGCTTGCCGGCTGTGTCTCTTCGAGATACATAAAAACAAACCCTTTAAAAACAAACTCTCAGTTATCGGATTAAGTGTCACTTTGCATAATATCAAAATGTATAAAACAAATCGAACAAAAAACTGTCAAATATGTGAAATAAAAATGTTCTTAGAATACAATAAAATAAAACAAATCTATTTTCCCCAAACACTTTAATGGTACCTGAACGCCCCTTATTGCAAACATGTTATACAAACGTTCTTTCTATCTATTTTAATTTGAAACAAAAACAACCTTCCATAGGTTTAGTTACTTTTCAGATTGCGATTTTTCAAAGCTCATCGACGTGGCATGGTACTTACAGCCTCACCCTGTACATTTTCTTTGCGCGTTTATGGCCGATCATCAAGACTAAAGTACGTCACACACATTCATTAACTGTTCAAGACAGACTGTGTGGTACACATAATCAAACAAGCATATAAAGAGAGACAGTTATGGACATGCGCCGACTGCCTGGTTCAGTCAGTGTGTGGCACAGTGCCATCACATGTGAGGCAACGCTCGTCGTCGCTGAGCGGAGATTAGAGTGGAGGGGAGTGTGTTATAGGAAAAGGGGGAGATGCGAACTTGCGAACTTGCGAACTCGATACAGTACCGCGTTTTATCGCGTTTAGAAATACATGGATATATCTTAAGATATCGCGATATCCCCAAGCACTAATCTGCATGTGCCAAGACACCTTGTCTTGCTCCACTTCTCTAATATATGACCAAGCACTAATCTGCATGTGCCAAGACTCCTTGTCTTGCTCCACTTCTCCAATGTGTGATATAAATGACTCGTGATGTTTTTAGCTCCAGATCCACTGTGTTTGGCCTTTGAACAGTCACTGGACATGATTTTGGGTGAAAGGGTTCTCTCAGGTTGAACCGCTATCCCTCACCATCGTCTGCTGGGGTGAACTTGCCTTTTTTTTTCTTGACCTTTAAGAGAAAAATTGATCAATTTATTGTTTGTTTGTTTTTTTTGTTTTTTTTTTTCTTATTTGACTTAGTTTTGATTCGGTTGTTCTTTCTTTTCCTGTTAGCTGTCACTTGTCTCCCTTCTTTGACCTTCTCTGCTGATGTGCGTGAAGTTTTTCCACGTGGATTGAAATCCAATTGATTCCAAACTTAAATGTCATTTAGTCATGGACGTCTGTGAGGATCACCTCTGAATCAAAAGTCCCAACTTTTTTTTTTTTTTCACTGAAAATCTGATCTACTAGTGTTGGGCTTCGTATGAATTCTCTCTCTCTCTCTGTGTGTGTCTTCTACAGGATATTGGCTACAGTGGGCTCAGACTTTGACCTGAGGACACTGCGGGCCGTCCGAGTGCTGAGACCCCTAAAACTTGTCTCAGGAATCCCGAGTAAGTAAACTGGAGCAGCAACCTTGTCTCCACCTCCTCCACCCTGACTATGGTTGTTGTTTCCTGAGAAACTGACATCTGCCGAGAAAGGAACTCTGACATCAGTACTGCCCCCTTGTGGAAGTATTGCTTACTAAACATAAGTGGCATTTTTCTCCAGTGATGTTTGAACCTGACATTCCTATGTAATGGACGAATATATAAGTAACTAAATATTTTTCACAAAATGACTACCATAATACACTGCCGATGATGACTGAACATCCTCCTCCTCCTCTTCTTCTGGCAAACTAACCGTAGGCTTATTGCTGCCACCTGCCAAGTTAGACTGTGTTTGTTTGAATTATTACCTCCACGTGAAACTCCACTGACTGTCTCTTTGGTCCTGGTCTCCTCAGGTCTCCAGGTGGTCCTCAAGTCCATCATGAAGGCCATGGTACCTTTGCTCCAGATTGGCCTGCTGCTCTTCTTTGCCATCGTCATGTTCGCCATCATTGGCGTGGAGTTTTACATGGGAAAGTTCCACACCACCTGCTTCAGGATAGACACTGGTGAGAATTGTCACTGTTTTAGGATGGACCTCGGTCTCGTTATCACAATACCGTTGGTTCTACTGTCTTCACCCATGTTTGATTAGTGGTCAATAAACACAAGACAGTTTCAGCTGAGCTCCATTAGACTAAGGGTGCACTCACCCCCCCCCACCCCACTTCCCCGCCTTCTCTTGGCCTGCACTCATTAAAGACAAGTGAGCTAAAGCTAGGTTGTCTCCACTACATACATCGGTGGCTGTTGTTTATATGAAGTTTCATCCATCCATCCATCCATTTTCATCCGCTTATCCGTTACTGGGTCACCCAAATCACATTGCACCGTACCAACCCCCCCAAACCTTCCTGTGGGTGGTGAGTCCACTGGAAGGTACCAACCGCCCTAACCGGGATCCGAACTTGCCCAGGAGGTGAACCCTGGGGTTCCACACCAATGACGGAGACATTGCCTCTGGGCCAAAGCGCCGCTTGTTTATATTAAGTTAAAGCAGCAAAATCCAGAGGGAATCTGACAACAACGGCTGTAACAGCTGATCAACATGATATCATTACTGTGAGCTGCTGTCACTCAGAAACATGACCGAGCCAAAATATTTGCAGCATCGTCTGACTGTGCGTATGCATATGCCCAGTCTATGCATGTGGAGCAGTGTGTGTTTTGAGTGGAGCGCAAACACAGGCATATGCCCAGTCTATGCATGTGGAGCGGTGTGTGTTTTGAGTTGAGCGCAAACACAGACACAGAGAATCTGTAAACCTAATAGAGCTTTGAAGCCTTTCATGGTAACAGTGACCTTCGTATAACACATGATTTGTACTGTTTAATATCTCACATTATTTATTTTGCTGTTGTACAGGTCACTTATCACATCGTACTATTTTAACCTATTGAAATAAACAAAGTTAGTTTGACTGCTGATTTGTTAGTGTAGTAATAGTAAGAAGGTTCTGTTCATGGTCATGATGGGGTTAATAGTTACGGGAGTGAGTGAAGCCGGGCTGAGAGCAAGAGGGGAGTTGTAACGAGTCGTTGCCAAGTGTTATTTTCAATAAGAGTTCTTCAGGACACGGAGGCGTCTGATTGGTCCGTCACAGGTGCATTACAGTATCATTTTAGAACACAGGGTAACTAATGAGAGTTCAAAACTTGCAAGTGCAATTGCGATCTATTCGGTTCTCTTCGCTCCTGAGCCAGAACATCAGTCAGCTGAAAGAAATCATTCATTTCCGTCAGAACATGAAACAAAAGTCAGTTCTTATGCTGATGTTCACAAGCTGCTCCAGTGAAATTACCCACAAGCCCTAGTGAACTCTTTCACCTCTGCTCAGAAAGGACAGTTTTTACCACAAATGTACAAAATATGGTTTTCTGAACGTGAAATATTTCTAATTATGTTTTTTAAAATTATTTTCAGATCTGCATTTCGTTTGTTGGTGATGTCCTATTGATAAAATTAATAAACAGTACATATTATTTTTAAAATAAAATAAAATTCAAATGAATGGCTCAGCTTGACACCTCAGTAGATTCAAAAGTCATTCAAATATTCATTTATTCGTTGACCTTGTCCCTCCCCTTGTGAAGGAATGTGTCATCAAAAGAAGGTTCTCCAGTCCATCACTGGGTTCACATAGACTGCAGAGACAAACGAACAACATTCACACTCTTAAGGTCAATTCGGAAGTGAACACTAATCGAATTAATCTAGTCACTAATCTCCAATCTGGATGCTTTTGAACTGTGGATGAACTTGGAGAACTGCCCACATGCCTTCTATAAACGCACAAACACGCACAGTTGCGGCGGGCAGGGGTCACATCACATCTCATTTCCTACTCCCTACTTCCCATGTAGGGAGTAGGAAATATATATGGCTCGCTATACATTGGACTCATTGGTTAAATGGAAATCGGTCTTGGACACTACTTGGTTAATTACGTCGTTACTGTCGCAAAAATTGAAACATATGGACGAATGCTGCTGCTCCCTCCGCCATGTTGTCTTAGGTAGCGTACTTCGGACAATGCTGCTGCTCCCTCCGCCATGTTGTCAGGAATACAACGCATGACGCTTAGGTAGCGTACTTCGGACGTCCACTAGATTTGGCGGTTGTAAATGTTTCCATTAATGTAGCTATTTCCTGCGATGCTGCCAGATTTACTGGAGTTAAAATAACACAACAACAAGATGGTGGAAAAAAAACATTTCAAGTCATGGTTGTGAGTCCTCATTATATGTCCTGTAATGACATGTAATAACTGCTGCTGGAGGCAGACAGCGGAGGCGGGACTTTCTGCTGACACTGCCCCCTGTCTGTCTGTCTGTCTGTGGGGAGATGATGATCAACATCACTGGACCCCGCAGCAGGGAGATGTTGACTGTGCAGGACGTCTGAGCAGATCATTGTTCAAACCTGTCACCAGGCTCTGATGGAGACACGAGTTCTTCTCAGCACTTTTATCACTTCTTCTGCTCCCCCCAAGCTGATTGGCACCAGGACACGCACTCATCCCGTTAAAGCCTAAAGAATGTATGGGTAAAAATAAATTAAGAATTGTTGAGATTCATTGTCAGGCGGTTGAAAGATAAACCTTTTAGAGGAGCAGTTCAGTTTTTTTGGCAGTCTGAACTTAAAAACGGTTTTGGCCCAGGAGTCCTGGTGGGTTCTATCTATCTTTTGGGATCAAGCTTTGTCTTATTGTGAACTATATATTTTATATAGCTATTTCTGAATCTGGATTTTTTTTTTCAAAATTTTATTATTTTTATTTATTTATATATTTTTATTTATTTTATTTCTTGGTCTATTTCTATTTTTCTGTTGTAAAAAGGTTGGCCATCTCCCTCAGTCAACAGTCAGTTAATCGACAAACTCACCTGAAAACAGAAAAGTTCACATGCCCTTGTCTCTATTTCACTCTTTTTTTTTAATCAGGTGAGATCGCCACTGATTGGCCTTGTGGTGTGGAACCTCCGGCCCGGTTGTGTCCCAATGACACTCAGTGCAGAGAATACTGGACTGGACCCAACTTTGGCATTACCAACTTCGACAATATCCTGTTTGCGGTACTGACTGTGTTCCAGTGCATCACCATGGAAGGATGGGTGGAGATTCTCTACAGCGTGAGTTAAAATCCAACGTTTGTATTTCATCGGCTTTTTCCTCACACCTGATTTTTTTTCACAGAGAGGAAGAAGTAGCGGCACAGAGTGACAGAATTAGTGGCAGAGAGCCTGTGGTGTATCTGAATGAGTTCAGTGGAGCGTGTCCGTCATGTCATGTCATGTCATGTCATGCATTCATTATGTCCTGAATCTATATGTGCAGACTCCCTCTCTCTCTCTCCTGGGGGAAGGGCTTCTGTTCTGTGGATCATGTTCTCTCCTGTAACCCCACATTAA